CATCTGCCGGTGACATCAACAATAATCTGCTGCTGCACTTGGCAAAACGGTTGCAGATGGCCAGTTTCAATGGGATAATTATTTCCAAAGTGCTCTTTTGATTTATGAAATCGGTCACTTTAATAGTTGGACCGTAGTCAAAAGGGCTTTGAAGCGCCAAATACTTCTGAACTCAAGGACTATCCATTAATTAAATGAATTATTTGTATTCCCTTTTTGTTGCTGACTTTGAAGCATAGCTACTATGTTCGAGTGTTTGCATACGAGGGCATACACACGATAAATGAAATATTTGATTTCTCAGTGTGCTTTACTGAGATTACAAACTCAAGCTTCTGGGGCAAAATCTGAAACTCGCTTAAATATTCATACCCCAATATGGCTACGGGGCCAAAGCAGAGTTTCATCAATATAAAAGTGCAATTTATGGCTTGTGAAATGCACTTATCCATCACAGAAATCTGAAATCTGAAATGTGAAATGTGAATTGAGAAATGGGAGCCTAGTTTTTAACATTTTGCCATGTGCAATCATAGCTTCGCCCCAAGGCGCTTGAACTTTGCAAATTCGGGTTCGAATTTCGAGGCGAAAGTCGATGCTGAGGCTCGTGTCAATTTTGGTCAACGCTTTCGCAGTCTGCAGTCCAAAAGAAGAGTTTACAATGTAAGAGTCTGTGAAAAACCCGTTGGCGGGACAAAAGGCCGCGCTGATCGATGACGGAGAAGGCGAATGACTTTCTCAGTCCGATGACCGGAGCCGGAGCCGGAGCCGCTCGATCGATCCATTGATTAATTGGCGCCAGAAGACAGCCACGCAACCCAAAGTGACAGGTTATGGGAGCAACACACGGAGCAGCCCAACCCACGCACCATATCAGCGAACATTTTTTGTTATCACCCGCCAGCTTGCGGGACCATGTTAAAATTCCTTAAACGCGACCCTTTCTGCCGCACTCAGCGTGCCCCATCCAACTATCACTGGTTTAGTTTCGCCATGCGGCCTAATATGAAAATGTATCCAATTATTTCTTTGCCACGCCATGCCGTTGCTACATTGGCCTTTTCCACACATTTGGCTGCACTGTAATGGCCACATTTCGAGTGTGACCAGGGAGGCAAACTTATCATCATCATTGTCAGTGTGCCCAAAAGGGAAGAAGAGGAAGAGGCGGAAGGGGCAGCGAAGAGGAAGCACCCTTGACTGTGCACTCAGGCATAAGACTTTGTTTTCTAATTTGGCTTTAACCTTTTTGACCAGCGCAGACAGCAGAAGCAGACCAAAAAGAGAAGAGAGGAACGATAACAAAAAAGAGGGGTAATTGAACCTAAGCTTGAACGTAACCTTGACTGCGCTGGCTGGCGTTTCAGGCCATCTTGCCCACTCGGCTGCCACGCCCCTTTTTTGGGCGGGGGGGGGTTGCGTAGCACAGCGTTTTATAATTTGTATTTCTTTAGCAGCTCCACAAAGGCGAGTGAAAAATTCGCGCATCATTTGTCATGAGTTTGATTTAAGTTTGTTTGCAACTGCAGCTGAGCAATTTCCAATTTCCCTCCGCCTTCAGCCAAAAGTTTTCGCCGCCTTGTGTGCTGCAAGTTTCCATCGCGTTTGATTGCGTTTCGGGGCTGGGGATGTGGCTGCCCCAAAATGGGCGTCCGCCATTCAATTGCAGTTTTACGATTAACTGCGGATGTTCTCCCACAGCCAAGAGTAGTGAATGAATGCAGAAAGGGCTTAAGTACATTTTGCCAGATTTATTGCTTTAATCATTTCAAATTACGGCTTAGGGCCAATAATATACGAGTGTGTACATACGTTATGAGGAATAGCAGAGATTTAACCCTTTTTAGTCTGATGGTTTCCTTAGTTGTTTGCTCAATAAATGCCAAATGCTGCCTTACTAAAGAAGTAATAAATTGCATTGTCAATTAATTTGAATTAATCATGAAGAGAAGTTTTTGCTTCGCAATTACAAGTTTTGTTTAAGCAGCAAATACCGTGAGCACTTTGCGTTTAATTAATAGCTCAATCAAATGAAGTAAACAGTTAAGCGCGCCTAAGACGAAGCCCAAGTTTCTCGGGCCAACTTTTGTGTCTCTGCGGGATGGCTAATGAAGCTGCAGCCAGTCCCCAGTGCCGGTCACTCGTTTTTGTTTTTGGACATCTTGCAATTGACCGCATAATAAATTTGAAGAAGCCACTGCCGCTCCAGTTGCTCCAGTTGCTCCTTTTCCTTCTCCCTTTCTAGTCCTTGTCGTCAAGTTTTAATTTGTTTTAAAAACTTTTTGATTGTTTCTGCTGCTGCTGTTGCTGCTGCTGCTGCTGCTGCTGCTGCTGCGGTTGCTGTTGTGTTGGCATGCAAATGCTGCTGCTCTGTGCATTCATTTGCAGTTGGCTTGATTAAATTGCATTCGCCTCGCCATTTAAAGTTCTTAGTTTCATTTTATTGGCACTGGCCAAGAGCAATAACAGTTTAAGGCTTGGCTCACTCATTGCCAACGGGAGGATGGTGGAATGTGATGCTTTTGACTGCCGTTGTTTGAGCAGTGGCCAAATCACAGGTTCCAGCTGTCATTACAATTTCCGCCCGCAAACACAAACATGAGCTGAGCTCACAGCTACTGTGGCAGGCTCTATCAATGCGTTTGATGGTGATTCAAATGGGTATCCTCTTTTTTTGGGTATCTAGTGTTGGTATCACCAAAACGAATCCGTTCGCTCTGTTGGCCAACTGCAGAAGTGGCCGTGCCGAGTTCAACCGCAAATGTTACACCCTCCAAAAGCAGTGGCAACAAGTCGGTGGCTCAGGCATGTGCATACCCTTTCCTATACATTCGAGTATATCTGCCTGATCTGGCTGGGAACCGCACAACCCACAAGTCCATTCCCCGGCGTTCTAATGTATTTATGTTAATGCAATAAAAAACACTCCATTTGCAGCACACTCGAAATGTTTTCCATGTTGCCCGGCTGCACTTAGTTGGCAAAAGCAAGAGCAAGGGAAAAGCAAAGGCAAAAGCAAAAGCAAAGCAAAAGCAAAAGCGTTATCGCAGCAGCGCCAGCAACACTCGCAGAATAACCTTGTTATTGTTATTTAATTTCCCTTTTTTTATGTTTATACTTTTTGTTACATTTCTGTTGCTGGTCGTGTTGCTTTTGCTGCTGGCCGCATGATTTATGGCGTTGGCGGCAGTTTTTCTGGTTGCCAACTCCCCGCGCCCCCCGCCATTTTTTGTGCAACTGCCGCACCGTGGAGAATAGCCAAGAATTGTGGCAGCAAACTGGACCGAAGAGCGCCTGCGGAAATCGCTCGAGCTGGTTTCCTAAGGCACTCATGCTCCCGCAGGAAGACGTAGGGGAAAGTTTTCCCTTTTCCCTTTTCCATTTCTAATTCATTTCTTTTAGTTTCCTTTCTATTTCTGTTTTTTGCTAGTGGCCGACTGCTTCGTCCCACTGTGCGGCTTTTGACTGGTTCTTGTGGCTGTCGTTGTATTATTGCTGTTGCCGTTGTAATGTCTTGTTCATAGACTGCGCCCACTTTCTACAGTTCATATTTCCCGCTCTGCAAGCCTCTTCTCGAGTGTGTCATTTGCATTTGTCGTAATGGGAAAAACAAGAAGAAAAATCAGAGAGAAAAGGTCGCGTGGCTTGTTAGACACGGCTTCACTTCTTTCGATCCCCTTTTCAAGAGTCAAGTCCCCCATTCCGTTTGCCTACCTACCCTCGTGTCTTTATCATTTACCAACTGCGAAGTTGTTCAACAATCCTGAGACCGCCCGACCGCCCAACGCCCATTTAATAAAGTCATTCTATTTGCATTTGAGCCTTTGTCTTGCTATTTATTTGCATTTCCAGGACTTGCTAGGTGCAGATTGCTGATGCCAAAGCAAGATGGTGGAAAATGTGCGACTCAAAGGGGACTGAATGGCGAGCAAATGCCATTTTAATTACATTTGGCTGGCTGGGCTGGGATGGCATTCGGGGCCTCGGTTGTTTGTCGTCATGTCGCTCTTCGTGTGCAAGTTTTTCAATTAAAATTAAATAAAACGACATAAATCATGATGCTGCCTCGCTCCGCTGTCAACTGTTCCAAACTAGCAGCGCCAGCACCGCAAGCAACTTCATTTTGGCTCAAGGGGACCACGCTGCGTATGAGCAATCTGCAGCCCAGCTAAGCTCCTTCCCCCTTCTCCCATCCCCCATCCCCCATCCCCCATCTTGCTCCTGCCATCCTGACAGCCAGCTGACGGACGTTTTGTTTTGGCTCTTCCTCCGGGCGGTTGTCCACCGGCCAAAACAGGGGGCGTGGCCGTTATTGTACTTGTCGACAATCATTAATCAAAGCGGACAGCCAGCTGAGAACCAAAAAGTGGCTACCGGCAACTATGAACTGTTGGCTGAGCTGCCAGCGGCGAGCCGGCAGGAATCTTTCAATTAAGTTCCGCAGGGACAAGTGAAGCAGTGATGGTGTGCTCACCGCCAAAGCCAAATGTTGATGTTCAGCTAATTATAGGAAATCCAATGCAAATCGGAAATGAATATTTCCACTTGAAGAAGAGAAGGTTTAATATTAAGATGTCGCTTTGGGGTGCAGGAAACTTGCCTCCTGCTCCCATTTCGACCTTTGGGCGTGGCTGCAGAAAAACTTGTGCACCTGCCATCAGCGCTAATAGCAATTGTGTTAATAATTCACTTTCGCTTTTGCCCACACCCTCAAAAGTGGGCCAACGAACCAACCAATGGCAGTGGAAACCTTGAACCGCTGGTTCCCGCATACTCGCAAGTGCACACATGCACATATCTGGGCCATTTTCACACCTAAGCCTGCCCGTTTGGGCCCTTATCCCACATGCAATATGCGATTGTTTCCATATGCTTTGCATACCCCCTTTGGTTCTGGCCACTTGAGACGAAAGCCAAATAGAACTAGTCAATGCCCTGCCTTTCTGCCTTTTTCTTCAAGTTATCTCTTTGAACAAACGCTACCCTCGATTTCCTTGCAGCACCACAGCAGCAGCATCGAGCGCCTCAGCAGCAGCATCAGACGGCCAGTTGCCCCACAGTTCCTCAGCCTCCGCATCAGCCGCCGCATCAGCCGCCGCATCTGCCTCCGCATCAGCCTCAACCCCAACCTCATCCTCCGTGGCACGTGGCATCCATCAGGTGAGCTTTATTGGGTTTGGTTGCACGGGGAAACTGAGGCTGTCAGTGACAGAAATAGAAAATTTTTTACTCTGTCAGAACGCTCTCGCAGTTAAGTTGGGATTTAAGATTGCTTTAACTATGCAACTTGCCAGGTGCGAAGAAAAAAGATTGGTCGAATGGCATTCAAATCAACAGATATGGTAAACCATGTGGTTTTCAGTTCGGTCATTTCCTCGCCCAGTGGCTTTTGGAATAATATTTCCCATCCATTTTGCAGACCTAAATGTGTTTGAGCTCCGTTTGTTGGTTTGTTTGTCGTAAAAAGGAAAGCGTACGCAGGCACATGTTTGTGTGTTTAAGCCTGTTTATTATATTTTAACTTGCTCAATGTTCCGTTCACCGTGCACTCCTACTTCCCCCTGCCACTCCTCTCCGCCTAGAATCAAACGAGCTTCTCCTCTCCTCTGCTGTTGTGTCAAGTGGCTTGGCTGGCTCCGTAAAATGGCCAACGGGCATGCCAACAACAAATATAACAACAAACAGGCCAAGCAAGCAACCAACCAACCAGCAACCAACCTACCAACCTACAACAACGGCAAACAAGAAGCTCGCATTAAACGTTTTCGCTTCATCCTGCTGACTGAGCTCTTGCTTTTTGGATCTGGATCCCTGTATCTGGAGACACAGGTTGACTTCCCGATTTTGGGTCAGTCAGGCAGGCGGGGCAGTTCGCTTTGATTTCGATTCGCTACGGCCGGACTGGACCGAACCGGACCAGACCTTTCATTCAAAATGTGTTTTGGCCCAGAAGCTATTCGCATTATCGGCTGCACATAATCTCCTCCCTCAAAATGTTAACCGAATTGCGAATGGCGAATTCCGAATTCCGAATTCCGCTGACTTGGCTTGGCTCCTCGACTCCTTCCCACATGCATCAACCAACTTATGGCGCAGAAAAAATGACAAAGGGGCGCTGAGCTGCTTTCATTTCATCAATTATGCAGTGAAGAATCAACATGAGCAGGTGCCACAGCTAAAAAAGCTGGGGATGGACACGTGGCACAAGCTGGGACTCGAAGCCGCACTTGAATTACCTTGCAACCTGGGATTGGAATGCAATTCGTCAGCTTCCCTCTCCGTTTTGCCTTATGGTGTTTGATCTCGATTGTTGGGTGGGGTTCTCCTTGTGGGTTGTACTCTACGTACTGTTTGTCGCATTTTTTCTCGCTGTGTGCTGCGACCACAAAATCTGTTTATGTGCCTCCGGCCAGCTCCGCCCGTCCGCCCCCCCCCCTTTGGCCCGCTTTCCAACTCCGGGCTGCATTTGACTTTTATATGTGAACTAATTCATGAAAAATGCATGTTGCCTGCTGCCTTGTTGCTCGTTTGCTCGTTTGCTCGCTTGCTTGGCTGCTTGGCAGCTCGTGCTCTTGCTCTTGCTTTTTGATTTCTGTGCTCTGTGCTTCTTGCTTTTTGCTGTTGCCTTTGCTCTTGCCTTGGCTTCTTGCTTTTTGCCATTGCTCGGAGTTTGGAGCTCGAAGCTCGGAGCTCGGAGCAGCGCCCAAATGAAGAAAAACCGGCCACCATAAATCGTTGTCGTCATCTCGCCGCTGCACTCGTTCACCAAACTGAAAATGCGAATGGGAATGGGAATGGGGATGGGGATGGGGATGTGAATGGCAAATGCTCCGGCTTTGGCTCCTTCTCGACCACCAGCACCACCAGCACCACCAGCGCCATATATATTCCGTCTTCTGAAAGCCAACTTCAACTGCATCGCCATCGCCGACCGCCAACGCCATCTCCATCTCCATCTGCAAACTCTAAACTCCAATCTCCATCATCCGGCGCTCGTTCGTTCTGCGGCTTTGTTCGTGTGGCAAATAATTAAATTAAGATTTTTATAGCTTAATTGGATGTTTGTCGTGCAGCGGGCCGAACGCCAAGTGACTACGAATGCCTTCCCCACCAGAGTCCGTTACATTTCAAAGTTGACACTGGGAAGTAAGAGACACAACATAAAGCAATTTTACCATCAGCACAGTTGCGAGTTGCCAGTTGCGAGTTGCGAGTTGCCAGTTGCGAGTTGCGAGTTGCCAGTTGCGAGTTGCGAGTGAAAGGCAACGCATTGGGGGAAATATTGGGTCTTTGGCCTCTGGCCTCTGTCTCCTGCCAACCAGTCAACTTTTGACTGAATTTCAGGCCGCGGCGGAGAAGAGATCGTGCAGCAAATCTGCGGAATGGTTAGCGTGGTTCTACATCTTACACAAAGCATAGAATCGATGGGTCAACTTTGGCATTTCCTGCGGACTAACAGGGACAGCTGACTCCACAAAAGGAGATACACTAAAGACAATGCTTGAAATCGAGTTTTCTGATATGGATATGGATCGTTGGCAGAGATAAGTGAGACTGCGAGCCGTGCTTAGACAAGCTACGATAGCATTTTCCTGCCACCCAAGACTATCGACGTACATGAATGTATGTACGAGTAAATGCTGGTTAGCCAATCAAGTCTGCTTGCAAGTCTATTCAATTTTCCAATGCATTTGATTCTGCAGTAATTCTTCCCGCTGGATGCCCAATGCTCCCCAAAAAGCCCAATGCCTCGACAAGTCGTATGTTTTCGTTGTCCGTGGTTCAGCTTTTGGCTTTTGGCCTTAAGCTGCCATTGCTGCCGTTGCTGCTGTGCTGATTGTTGCTTTTTGGGGTTACCTGGCCACTGCGGGGCACCCAAATCTGCCCAGAATCTAGGCGCACGACGTCTCCGTAGCAATCCTTGAACTTTTCGCTTTTCAAAAATGCACGGCGGCATGAAAACGTCGTGATAAAAGAAGGGGCGGTGGGGCAGCTGTTTGCGCGGGGCATTCTTTCAATGCTGCACAGCAAGAAAAACTTCAACGTTCGCATGCTTTGCCAAGTCTATAGAAAAGGAACTATCTTCCAGATTAATTCACCATCTAAATTATAGACTGCGGACAATTGCATAAGTTAATTTTTAAATGGAAAAAGCGAGGTGGTTCGGAATTTCCCTCTGTGTGAGTGGGAAAAGGTAAAGGAAAATGAAAATGAAAATGACGAGAGGAAAGGGGGCTTACTTATGCATTCGGGTTTCATTAACATGCAGTTGACTTTGGCCGGCGTCGCCCGCGTCATCAAAAGCATAAATTCCATATGCAAATTGAGGCAGTTGGCTCGGTCACAAGGTGGTTCTGCCGGGCGGTGGTTACTGGCACTGGTTCCTAGTGGTTCGCTCGCCTTTGTGCCTTTCAAAGCTACAAAAGGGCGAAAAAACATCGTATGGCCAGAACAAGAAGGAGAAAACTGAAAACAGAAAACTGAAAACGGAAAACTGAAAACCAAACCAAACGAAAGAGTCGCCATCAAATGGAGACCAAAACCGACCGAACCACACCGTGCGGATCCGAGAGTCGAGAGTCTGGCCTAAAGAAGGGTCAACACTTTGGAAAAGGCATATTCCTTCTCAGAATTTTCGAAATTGATTTCCTCGAGTGACTCCAGAAGTCTCCAAAAGGGTGGAAGTAGTGTAATATCTCTCTCAAAGCGCATTACATCGATGGAACGCCTAAGTGCTACCCATTACAATGGGAAAGAGGTTATGACTGCTGGTGGGCAATGGTGTGGAATGGGGTTTTCTTTTTTGAACTCTGCCAGCAAAGTGCATGACTTTATTTCCACTGTGTATTTTTGACCCACCAAGTTTGTTACGCTTATTCATTCGGCACCCAACCTGCCACGCCCCCTTTTTGGCGACTTTGCTGTTGCCTTTGTTTGTCGCCGGCCCTTGTTGCCGTTTCCAGTGCTATTGCCATTGCTATTGCTTTGCTTGTGGTGCTATTGCAACTGCGAGTGGCAGCCATTTGCTGCCGTTTTTGTGGCACTTCTCACTTTCCGTTGTTTGCTTTTTGCCGGCACTGTTTGCTTACGTTGCCGCCCTTGCCGTTATACCGTTATACCGTTATCCCTCCGTCCTGCGTCCTGCGTTCCGTAAAAATGTACGTATAGCTGCTGTCCGGCCGTAGATAGCACGGCACGGCCATTGTAATGCCTTCCGGGAAAGCTGCCTGCTCTGCGTTCTCAGCGCGGGTTTCAATCGGATGGAATGAATTCCGGCTACGTCGCGTAACCTACTCACGTAAATGTGTCACGTCGCCGTATTATATTGAAACGAGGAGTAATTGCGTTCAGTTCCTAGCTTCCTTACGTAGTTAACGTAATTTCTGGATATTTTATGGCTTATTAGCCCTGCTATGTTCCTCTTCTCGTTGAGATTGGGCGGATGGATGGCTGGCAATGAATAAATGGCAATGAAGCTGCTGGCCTGATACCCTAGATCACTTGAATTTTCCTACGAAATTTAGTTTTCATAATTTCCATATAATTCATTCAATCTGCTTGCGTAGCTCGCCCGAGTCACTTATCTGTGCAGCATGCGCCCATCGATCGAATGTCTCACATGTCGCATTCACCCAGGCAAATATTTTGCAATTTGCTCACGTAATTGTCTCACGTCAGTAGGCAACGTTATATATACTCATACATACTTGCGAGTATGTATTGCTCGTGCCCCACTCCCCCATCTATCGGCTTAGCACCTTGCAACGGAATCTATTGACTTGTTGCCGCCACATTAGGCGGCTTGCAGCAGCTGGGGCAGGAGCTGAGAATTCGACCTCCTGCACCTGCACCTGCGACTTCGACCCACCTTCCATCCTTGACAGTTTCAGCAATGTTAGTTCAAGCGACAACGACCGGATTGAGGATGCAGTAGCAGCAGCAGCAGCAGCAGCAGCAGCAGCAGGGAATCGCGTTCGTAGTCGGATTCTGAATCTGAATCTGAATCTGATTTGGAGGCATCCTTGGCGCATTGCAATCAAAGTCAGCGCCCTGAGTGACAGCGAGACGAACTTCTAGATACGCCGTCCCATGTCGCATCCATCCTTCCTTGAATCAACCTCCGAATCAACCTCTTTCCTTCCATTCCACGTGCCATTCAA